AGAACTCCGATCATCCTCCCCCTTTAGTCTTCGTATCCCCTTATCGCGAAGGGCATACTTGGTATTCAGATGGCACGAGTTCCATCGAAAGTTTGATTATCGCCTGAAGAAAATCGGTACCCGCCTTTATTCCTGGCTTTAGTCTACTTAAGCCGCTTGAGGCATGAGGAATATCGTTTCTTCTTCGAAGAAGACAAAAAAAATCTTTCAAGGTGAAATAGTTAGGGCGTAGTACGGGGGAAAAAAAAAGGGAAACAAAAAAAATTGCGGCGTGCACGTCCTGTAAGCATAGAAACAATCGATCGCTTTGGCGTGCGGCCTATGGGATTTTCGGCTTTGGGAGAGGGCAAAGCGATAATGTTACCCCCTTTCCTTTCTTTATCCTGCTTGCTTTAGACTTTAACGCCGGCAACCTACGCGTAGAATATCATTCGTGTACGTACGGTTGCCGTCTTATAGGCGTATCGCTTTTACTTCCAAACTGCTCTACAGAGGACACGACTGTACATTTCTCGAAAACCTCAATGAGTATAGTGTGGTTACTACTTGATCAACTGAGTAATCGAGTATGTATTCACAATGGGACCGTCAAAGTAGATCTTGTCAGATTTTTTAAAACTTTACACACTTCTTATAGTAGTCTATGAGAATATTTGTTATATTTAAAAAAAAAAAATGCAGTCTGGTGTGGTGAATATGCATGAGGGCAAAATCACGATAGCGAACAATTCATGTTCTGCCAGCGAAAGAGAAATATTATTTATTGTATATTCAAATATATTAGCATTAATAAATCATATATTGTTAATATGAAAAGAAAACTTCTGTAATTAGTTATAAGACTAACGTAAATTTATTTTTTTTTTATGTTACACTTCTTTTAGCGCGTTTCTGGAAAGTGAAGTTAGATGCGACCGAAAAATTGACACCACGAAGTTATCGATATTTACGATGCGCGGGAAAATTGAAATTATTTTTAAGTTTATTGAAGTTATATTCGTTTTGATACGCTAAAGAAGATGTTGTACATAAGTACACACATCAGTTTTATTTTTTTCAAAATTATACTTATACCACTAAAAATAGAAAAAATGGTTTATGCTGATGATTAATATTACATAAATTTTATTATCACTGGCACTTTTTTTATCTTCTAACTTTTTCCATCATATCCAAGTTGAATTTAGTTAATCTTTCAACGTCCAAATCTTTACTGAGATTTGTTTATTGACAAAATATTAATCGTTTAGAAAATTAGATTAGTCGAACGAAATTGTTTTCTTACTTATGTCAGGAAGTTCGTATTAAATAAGAAGACTGAAATATTCAAGAGAAACTTGGCTTTCTTAAGCGATCGGATAAACGTTCGCGAAAAACGAAAAAGGCAAGTTAGAAAAGGCCGGCACGTTGAAGGTGGTAGTGATGCTATGGGGGGTCTTTGCACGTTACGGTCAACGTGCTTGCTATAATAAAACTATTTCTGTCGTGGCACGACACGAAGGGTAGGTGAGACGCAATGATGAAGGAAGGAAGGAAGGAAGGAAGTGAAGGGAGGGTGGGAGGAAGGTAGGAAGGGTCGAATCCCATAGGATATAAATGCCACAGGGGTGTTTCGTTTGGACCGTGACCATCTACCATGGTTCTGGTTCGTATTCTCCTTCTTCTTCTTCTTCTCCTTCTTTTTCTACTTTTCTTCTTCTTTCTCTTCGTCTTGGTTAGCCTTGTCCTTCTTCTCATCGTTAGGCTCCCTGTAGATTCAATCACGACCCTTCCTATACCGAGGAAACTCGAGCGACGAATACCAAACAGTTCAACTTAGGTATTAGGAACGTTCCGTCTTTCTCGTCTTCTTTGATCGTGACAAGAATCGTGCTCGGACTGACCGTACCCGTATCGCACGCGTCTCTTTTAAATGGTTCACCGCTTTTACGATCAATTCTTTCATTTCTCTTTTTCTTTTCCTTTTCATTCTTTTTTTTTTCTCGAAAATTCGATAGGCACCAAAAGTTAGGCTCGTTTTTTTCCTTCAACTCGATTAATTGAATTTCTTTCTTTTTTCTTTTTTCTTTTCAAGAGAAAAATAAAAAAAAGAAACAACAACATTAAAAAACATTCTTTTTCAGTACAATAAGATAGAGAGAAAACTAAGGGGTGAAAAAAAAGGAACGTAGTGAATGATCGAAAAAAGCTTTAAGAGTCGGGTCCACGTTTACTACCATATTGAATATGGAATCCCATAAGTCGAGCGATAATGCAATATGCCGACGTCAGGTCCTAGGGTTAAAAGGTGGGGTTACGTTGGATTGGAATAAGGGTAAAAGCGTTGAAAATTTGGTAGGAGAATCTCTATTAAATCTGGATATATACCATATGAATATTTGCTTCAATTCTCTGTTCTATTTTCAACCTTATTCCTCCAGCTGATATCGTTTTTTGATAAACGATAATCCGAGAGAAAAAAAGAAAATTCGGAAAGATTTTCTTTTCTAAAAGGATAGAAGAAAAATGAAGACAAGATAAAAAGAAGAAAAAATAAAAATTTCGAAAATAATGTAAATCCATTAATGTTCGAATCGAGATATTGAAGGTTTTACATTAGATTAAATTTAAAGATATAGATAACACACAGATGACATATTAGAATAATGTTTTTTATTTCAAATTTATCATCCCAATTAGTATAATTAACATTATTACAGAAATAATATGTTTTTGATGGCTATAATTGGATATATAATTTTTCCTCACTTCATTAACCAACAAATTTTCTTCGTGTTAAAAAATCTTTATGATTTTAAATATATTGATAAAAAGTTGCTTCAAAATGAAAAGATCACGTAAAAATGTAACTGTTAAAGTAGCTAACTTGAATTTTTTTTTGAAAAATGGGCTCACACCACTTTCAAAATAAATGGCTTAAATGTTCTAAAAGGAAAAAACGGTGGCACGTGCGCAGTATGATGAATCGTCGAGTCGTAGTCGCTTTCGGTTTTATAGTTTCGCATAGCCCGAAGTAGATACTTGACAGAGACGCGAAATAACGATATTGACTTCGATCTCTTTCTCCCAAGAAACACGGTTAACCGGCAGTAAAAGGGTCTCTCTCAGCATCTTTACGGATCGACTTACGCTCAACATTTCACCATCTCTTTTTCCTTCTTTCCATAGGACATTTCGACGCTCGTATTTCAGCGACTCCCTGTAAGCAGCTGTTTTTCGATAGCCAAGAAAAAAGAGGGAAATAAAAAAGAGAATGAAAAAGAGTGAGAGAAAGAAAGAGAAAGAAAGAGAATTGATAGAATTCAATTGGTTCCACAGCCATGGTTCTTTCTCACAAAGTTACGACAAGATCGACGTATAGAAGGGTCGATTAATTTAGGATACATTTGGTCATCCTTCGCGATAAACACGCCCTTCCCATTTCATTGAGATAGTATTCGTTACTGCCTTCTACCGTGTTTCTGTTAATTAGAATTTTCCCATAGAAAAGGCAAGAACTCTATTTTCTGTATTTATAGTTATATATATACGTGAGAGAAACAAACGAATAGTTTTCGTCTAATGTAAGGCGTAACTTGAAATATTGCTCTTCGTATATATATTTTATGATCCGAAATAGAAATGAAAGGAATATAATTAATATCAGGCATTTATCGAGGGTTCGTAGAATCTATGTTTTTTTCCAAAATGAGATTTTTTCCATTGTGATGAGAATTATTATTATTATTATTATTAATCGCAACTGTCAAATTATACGTTGTTATATAAATTTTTGTCAATTAAGTATAATATAGAAGGCATTTATTTATGAACATTGTAGCAATTATTCTAAAAGAGAAAAATGTGTTTCTTTATTTTAGATATTTTTTTAATAAAAAATATTTGGGAAATAAATGAAAAATCTATACATTAGAGTTCTTTTTCAATCATTGAAATTAAAAAACGTTAGTACATGAATGAATTATTCTTTTCTAATTATATAAACTTAGTATCGACAGCAAAAACCGAAAAAAAAATCAAGCAACGTTGGATACATTTAATAAATGGGATAGATGATCAATTTGATATAACTGTAACTCGTTGAAATTATTTTCTAGTTTTGAAAAATAACAAATAAATAATATATTGCCGACGTTTAATAGAATGGTAATTTTCGAAGGGTGATAGTACGCGTTTGCGAAGGTAACAGCAATGGTAGGTAGGTAGGTAAGCTTCTAATTCGTCGCAGCAATAGGGCTTATCTTCGGTCCAGTAGCCCTCGAAGGTGCGCGCGCGTGCGTTTTCTCATACACAGGAGGACACAAGTAGCACATACACGTAGTACGATAACATTTTAGTTTAAATTTGGGCTGGTGGCCCGAGGCAAGCCGCGGGCTGATTTAAGGCCTGTATACGCACGTAAACGTACTGCTGGTGGTGGCCTCGGAGGGGTGGAAAGCTTTCCCTAACGGTGAACCGTATGCCAACCGGTAGATAGTCGGTTGCGATAAGCTAAATGCTCGGAATCCCCTCCCCATATTACACAGGTTATACACCATCACTGTGGCGCGACAAGCCTCCAAGAGGAGCCAACTATTCTCTTCTCTTTCTCTCTCTTTCGGTCTCTGTCGTTCTCTCATCCACCATCTCCAGCAAAGATAGATCGTTTGGAAAACCGGAACTTGCATTTTAACTACCACTCAAGTCTCGTGTATCATATTAATCTACGTGACTCATTTCACGTTCATTATTATAACCTTCGATAACCTTTCTTAACGATAGGCTAAATTGGGGCTGATAATATTATTTGAAATTTAAAGTATAATTGAGTTGTTTATTTTGAAACTAGTGTAAATTCATTTCACAAAAATATCGAATTAGATATATTAATAAAAGCTAATTTAAATTAATCCAAATTAGTAACATAAAGATACTTTTAGTTATTATATTGTGTTACCGGTCCTAATCTTTTCTATACTTGAAATTTGTAAATAAATGAAAAGTTTACAAAAATAATTAACTTATTTTTTTATTGATGTAAAAAAAAGAACATTTGTTTATTATTGCATTAAAGTTATATTATTTCAAAAGACACTTTTTTTTTATACATTTTTTCAAGAAAACAGGATTCGATTATGATAGGGGCAAGCATGATTTATTGGACTACTTTGTATTATATCCGGACGAACCGAGCAAGATCTCCGCTCAATTTCCGCCTTGGTTACCCCCCTAAATTTAAGATTATTCCGTAACTTTTTCCATGAGAGAAATGATTCATTCCGTTGATAAAAATCCAAAGCAAATATTTTATCAACATTTATATATATATATATATAATAATTGTGTTGTCGAAGGAAAAGTTTATATTTTAAAGCAACCCTTTTACTTTTCTTCAATGAAATTTATTGGAAAAGTGAGATCGGTGTCCTTCATATTTTCTTTAACCCAAGCATCGTATTTTGCTTCAAATTCGTCTGTGAAAAAATCTTTCCATCCTTTGACTTTTCCTTTTCGTATGAAATTATTTGGTTTTACGGTTTCGTCCGGATTAAGCGATGGTACGTTCACCATAGGATTCTTACGAAAATTATCTATATGAAGATGATCAACTAGTTTTAAAATCTCCTCTTCACTATAGGATTTTCCAAAAAACTTTGCCACCTTTTTAATAACATTTGGCAGGTCCTGTAGAAAATCATATAATTTAGATTTTGTCAACTTATCATATTATTTATAGCATAAAACGATTATAAAATCTCACGTTAATGATCTCTTCGTAGAAAATGAATAATAAGTTCGAACGATGTCTTTCAGCCCAGGCATCTTTTAAATGCGTCCAATAGGGGCAATAATTAGCTTAAACATAAAAAAATATAACATAAGTTAATCGAAATAAAATTCTCCAAAAATTCTCCAAAAATTCTCCAAAAATTCTCCAAAAATGATTTATAAATTATAATGCGAACTTACTTAAATCCTTCATAAAGTATTCACAGAATTCCTCAAAACTTCCTTGGTATTCTAAACCTTTGATAAGCTGTAGGAAGTGATACCAAGACACCACTACGTCTTTTGGATTACGTGCAACGTAGACGACCTAAATATATAATTCAATTATTTTATATATTAGAATATTAAGAATTTTTATTGATCACAATAAGATTCTGTAGAGAATGGTACCTTATAAAGTTTTATGTATAATTATTTGTCGAATTATAATTTGTTATTAAAAACAATGTTTGAAACTAAACTATCTTCGTTTCGAAGAGAGAACATCTTAAAACTTCATATGTATATATCTTGTATGTACACATATACCTTGCATCCAGTATCCAGAAGATTGGGCAATAACTCAAACGGCATATGGGTTTTGATGAATCTTGGAGATGGTAATTTATCGGAAAATTCTGGATTCAATCTTACAATTTCCTTACCCGTCTGACTAGTTAGACTATCATCGTAATCGCCAGTTAATATGTCAAGCCTATATAAACAAAAGTTTTGTAAAACTTTTGATAATACACGTTTCGTTTGGAAATAGGTAATAGATTCTTCTTATTTCATGGGTTTTTTTTTTTTATTTATAAATTATCATGTATACGAGAGAAGCTAACGGACTTGAACTTACTCGAAGTGGAACTTACTCGAAGAATGGAAATCTATGATGCAGGCTTCGTGTCTTCGCTTCCTCGAAGTTCATGTTGTTCGCGACCAACCAAACCAGTTCCAATGTCACTGTGGTGCCTAGTGCAAGAAACAAATTGTCTATCGTTATGTAGGTGTGTATATATATATATGTATATACTTGAGATAACTATCTATTTATCGTGTCAACAACTTAAAGAACATATAAAAATAATATCGCAATTTCCGTCGTTCAATCATCGCAACCGGATATATAGTATTTAGATAATTCGTATTTATTAAAATAAAATGTATGAAGAAAATACAGTGTAACATTAATAATTCGAAAGTTCGATCATCTGAAAATCGGTCATCCAAATAATATATTATAAAATGAATCACAAATATACGTATATTTCAATCATGTATTTAAAAGCTTTATTTTATGAGATACATATTTTAATTCTTCAAATGCTTAAGTTTAATAATAGTTTTTCAGATGTTCTGAGAAAAGAAAATACAGTACTAACTTATTAAATATTCTTACTTTTATTTAGTTTATTAATCTAACGTTTCCAAAAGTTCTAATAGTTAATTAATATTTATAAATTTAATTTCTATATATTTTTCAATTATATAATATATATATATATATACATAATATGTATTAAAAAATAAGAAATAAAAATTTTTATATTTGATATTATTATAATAAATTATAGGTGAAAAAAACAAGTAAGTTTATAGATCGTAAATTTACTTTTATCTTATCATGTGTTAATTACAGCTAATGGAACGAAACACTAATTCTATTATATTGAAATTGCATAAGAAAGGACTTGGAGTAAAAAAAAATAGTCTATTTAATATAATATAATTTAATGTTATCTTGAGTAATTTAATTGTTTATAAAATCTACAAAAGAATAGAAATATTAGTGATATATCAGATATATCTATAACAATAATATCTATCACTATTATGTAACAAACACAAACAGAAAAGTCAAAATAATAGTCGTATTAAATAATATATATACAAAAGTTAAAAATGAATTTTTCTAATTTAGAAACTATCAAATTTACCTGACCGCGGGAAAGAAGCGACCCAAGTATCATCTGGGCGAGGCTTTGAATTATACACTGCGCTTCCTCCTTCGAGAAATCTATAGGGCATAGTCCATTTTTTTTCACCAATTCTTATAAAACCTCTAGTAGATGCCGGAAAATGTTTTTCCGCCAATTTTTTCTCCTCATCGTTGAATAACACGTATTTTGGTATTTCACACACATTCTCCATTGATTATTATTATTATTAATATTTAATTACAAATAAATCACTCTCTCTTCTCAATCTTGGATTTCGTTGTACGATGATCCTCTCTTAACTACGATACAAACAGAACTGTTGAGTTGGTTCTTCAAATGTTCTTTTATATACGCTGCTTGTTATACTGATGACGTAATATTTTGAAGTGTTGCGTTTCACAACTGATAAAAATTCATGTTTTGAAGCTACAGCAATATTATGATTATTAGTAGATATATTTATAAGGTACTTAATTGCCTTAATTTATTCTTTTTTTTTTTTTGGGTTTATTTCGTACGATAGAAAAAAATGTCAGAAGAACAAAATATTCTGTTCGAAGGCGTCGAAATATTGTTGGGCCGAATTGTTTTTCCAAGATCATTATTTTGCGAGATATCGAGGTCATCGTATTTTTTTTTAAATGGAACTATATATTTATACTAGATTATTCTTATAGCTTATAAAAAAAACGAGTCCAATGATATGCAAGATGTTGACCTTTATCAAAAAAATTGTGAAATGTAAATTCTAAAAATGTAGAATTCGTCTCGATACTTTGGTAGTAACTTATAGAAAGTTTTACTTGAAGCAATATAAAATATTGCAAAAATTGTAATAATTCGACTAATAAGGTCGCTTACATTTGTTATAATAATTAAACTGTATAAATTGTAGTATTCCGAGAAGTCGCATCGTTTACATCTTACAATCAGTACAACTGATTTATCTCTTTCAAAGATATAAAAATTCAAAATCAATATTGTAAAGTCTTGGAGGGTAGCATATAATGTTGACTTACTTATGTGTGATCTTTTGTGTATCAGTTTTGATTATCACTGTAAATATTGAAATTAGATAAATTACGAGTCAATGGCCTAGCAAAACGTAATTTATTTGATTAATTTTATAAGTACGCATAAAGAACATAAAAATATTTAAATTGTTAAGCTGGCACAAAAAAATATTTTCTATCTGACCACGCCTTCAGATGATTGGATTATTAGATAAAAGAAGATTTATAACGATAAGAGTTATTTGTTATCGTAAATAAATATTGCACTTCACGCTTAATCGTATATTACTTTTAAATACAATGGGAATAACTATATTATCATTTCTCAAAATAACGAGTGATAAATATTTAAAAAGCGTCATTTTTAGAGAAACATGTAACAAAATTTGAAGCTATTAAAAGTGAAACAAACCAGAAATTTTAAAATCCTCTTCACCCTACCCCTCGTGCCCTAACGTAGCCAATTGAAGGACATTTTATAAATTAACCAAAACCTTCTGGACATTCCGTAGAATGAGTGGACATTCTATACAATGCCCGCAGTAATAAATTGCCCATAACATATATATTTCAAACAGAGTTATAAATAGTAATTTTCTCTCTCTCTCCCTCTCTCCTTCTCTCCTTTTCTGTCTCTTGCTCCCTTGGTATCTTTCTCTCTTTCACTATCTTTCTCTCTCTTTTACTCTTTGACTTCGGGAAGGGATATAAATCACGCGTCAGATGTGCGGAGTCGTCGGTCATTCAGTTTCATAAAAGATTCCAAGTATCTACAAACAACTTGCACTCTCTCTCACATGTAAATGCACACGCACACGCATACGTATACTTATACGTATACGTATACGTACACGTACACGTAAAGTTTTCTCTCTCATTCTGTGTTCTCCCCTCTTGCTATTACTCGCGGTAGCGGCTTCAACAGGACTCATGCAAGGCGTTTAAAGCTACATTCACATCATCCTTGCCCGCTCGAAGTAAAATCTGCACACTCAGCGTTCTTAGTGAGCGCTCGAAATAACGTGCAGTAGCATCACAAAGCAGCGGCGACGTTGGTTAAGAGCAGCATACGACGAGAATCACCTCGTATACACATTCACATGCATCTATCCGTTCCGTGAAATGTCATCGGGATAATGTAAGGAAGTACTACCTTCAAAGGTTGAGTGTGTGCACGCACGGTAGAAAAGATAAAAGAAATGAAAAAGGTATAAGGCCCGACGGATATTTCAACAAACGTGTTTCGTTAATTTCCTTTTAAGATTCGGATAAATATTTGCCCTTAGAGACCTAAGCATTGCCGTAAAAAGAAGGATTAGATCGATTTAGAATACGTCATTTATCATGCTAACCTATAACATCATTTTCTACATTTTATATTTCATGCAAAATCATTAGACTAACGTTTTCTCTAGCTTATGTTAAAGATTGTTTTTTTTATTTTATAATCGTTTTAATCGCTTATAATTATTCAATTACATTTCTCAAAAGATATACCGTAGTGTTCTATTCGTACGTAAATATATCGATCACAAAAATCACTGTAAATTATTTATTTAATCATTTTTTTGTCAATAGAAACTAGAGCTAAATTTTAGTTAAATAAAACATAACTTTTACACTTTCCAATAAAAAAAAATATATATATAAAATTGTAATTAATACTTGTAAACAACGCCCAGTATTAAATTAGATAATGAACACGTGTCGACGAGAAAAATAGAAATAAATTTAGATAAATATCTATAACGCGTATACATTTCGAAAATAATCTACTTGAGATAATCGAGAAATATATATAAAATTATTCTAAGAGATTAATTGAACGTTAAATGACGCGAATAATATAGAAATGGCTTACAGAAAGAGTTTCTGTACCTTGGAGGAGTACCTAACTCTCGTGAGAGTTAAGGGCGGTATTCTAACACTTGGTAAAGCTGACGATAGTTGTCGCAATCCTCTTCGAAACCCTTTTCCATCTCATTCTGTCCTATCGAAAGCCATTAACATCGACTCGGCGATATGCAAAGAGGGTGTAACTCCCTCAACCCCTGAACACCTTCAACCCCCCAATTCTCTCTTTCTCTCTCTTTCTATTTCAGTGCTTACTCGACCCGTTGTATGCAAACAAGGTGCTTGTTTCTAAATTGAGTTGCAAGTCGGTCCCATCGTTAATTAATATATCTCGGGATAGGAGCGAATTAAGCTCGATGAGAGAACGGTATATATGGGCCTTTAGCACCCTGCGATCGCTGCTACTAATACAACGTGATGCGTTGCAGGAGCGTAACAGTGGTATAGGTGAAATTGTGGAAAGCAGAGAAAGTATGAGGGGTAGGGAGGTAGCAAAAGGAGACTCGAAACGAGCAACCTGGGAGTCGTACCAATCATAAACGGACCGTAGTAGCTCGACAGGCGGTTACGAAATGGTGAATTTTCATGATCCGACCGAGCGTGACCAGCTTGCTAAGGCCAGAATCTCTCGTGTTTGTCTTTAACCACGATTTGTATTCTTTTGGACGACCAAAGGACACATTGCGACACACTGATTTTACCTTCACCTTCTTCTCCATCTAGTACCTACTAATATTTTTCACTTGATTTGTACGAATGAATGGGTTCCGATGTTTATTTGTTCATTTAGCTTTGATATCTTTTTTAGTGTTTTTATGGAATCCTAAATTCTTTGTATTACAATTTAAGCTGAAAATAGATAATAAAAAGAAATAGGGACGAATCAGTGGATGTATTCAAATTTCTAAGAAACCTATGAAGAAGTCAGTTAATATCAAATTTGGGTATAAAATGGGACTTTCTAGATGGCTTCAAAAAGTAGTTAGGATAGAATAGATGAGCGGGAAAGGTTATAAAAAGGGGAAGGCATATATGGGCGAAAGGCTGCAGGAAACAGAAACACATACTCGTGAATGGAAACACAGTATGAGAGAAACAGAGAGAGAAAGATAGGGAGGGAGGAAGTGAGAGAGAGAGAGAGAGAGAGAGGTTGGTGGAAGTGTACCCATGTTTAGAAATTCCATTACTCGTGAGATGAGGTCAGTGCACGGGCAATTCATTAAACGTTATATTTTCTCTACATTTCTACCTGCGTTAACAACATCCAACAGGGAATGCCCGCTGACCCTACAAACCGCTTTTCTCAACCCACCAGAATACCTTTCGAAAACTTCGATCGCTTCAGACCAATCACAGGTAAAGGGTTCGAAGTGTTAAGTCGATGAATACACTACCACACCATTCTTTATATTAGACGAAATTGTTAACACTTGATGTTTCAGCCTAAAGGAATTCAAATAATCCAATATTATCCCAATTATCATTCCTACGATCTCAACTTTTTTTAAGCCATATTTTTTTTTTTCTTACAGAAAACTTTCCTAATCGCTCGTAAATCGCTAACATTTAAGACAACACTAAATCAAGGTCAGCCGTTCACGACGTGACGACCATTATTTTTCTCAAATTGCGACTTCTTCGCTACTACTCTAACAGATATGATTTAGTACTTTTGACAGGATTAATAATTCCAAACTCTCCATGGTGGTAGCAGATGTCGAGACATTTTCGCACCCTATTCCGAATCTTCCAACATGATTTCCAACGAACATTCGCTACCCCATTCCTCCTTCTTCTTCTTCTTCTTCTTCTTCTAGTTCTACTTCTTCGTCCTTTACTTTGTTCTCCGACAAAGGTAAATCTGTCATATCCCTGTGATATATCCGTCTCTACCCTGTATGATGCTACTTTTCCTTCATAACTCAGAAGCGTAAGAATAAAAGAACATAAGAGGGATTAAAAAGGTATCCAGAAAAATATATCTTCAATAAATCACAAATATCGATGTCTTATCTCTCTCTCTCTCTCTCTCTTTCTATTTCACTCTCTTCGTAACAAATAATAATCAGAGGGATTTACTAAAAGAAAAGTTATATACATAAAAAAGAATTCGCCTATTCGGTTTTCGAGAAATTTATAATTATCCTAATTCGTACTAAATCTTTGCTTGTCAAAGACAAATTTTGGACAACGTTTTTATTTTGTAAACTTATTAGAAACATAATTTATACATTTAGAGAAATACTATTAAGTTGAATTCATATAAATTCACACTCTTCTCTAGTATCTAATAGAATATACTCATATTATCTTTTTAACTATATAGAATATTTTGTTGGAAATATTTGATAATACATAAATATATGACAATGAATTAAAATGATAATTTATGTGTATCAACATTTAATACATCTGCGTCTGAATTTCAAATTCATCTCACAATCTAGACATAACATAAAGA